AGCGCTCGCCACTCGCAGGCAAACTCCTCCCCAGCACGGTGCGTGCGTGCGCTGAGGTTGAATCGATGCCGCGACTTCACAGCCTTCACCGTGAAGAGCACGCCAGGGCGGACGCTTTTCGGCGCCATGGTTTTGGCGCATTGCTTCGCCGGCTGTCAGCCCAGTCCATGGTCGCTCCACAACGATTCCCAGGCGTGCCCGCACGCTCCTCAGGGGAGTGGGCACGCCTCTTGCTATCCTGAAGCGCGCGTCAAGCCCGCTCGACCGTGAGCTTGCTCAGCGAACAGTTTTTCAATAGACGTTGAGCGACGGGTGTGAATCTCCCACACACGCGCCAACTCCTGACTGAGCAGGCCTAGTACCCACGTGATAGCCCCACTGATCCATCCCATGCGACCAGGCGCCGCTCGGACCCCATTCTCGAGCAGGATTCCTCGCGGCAACACAACTCGGTGCTCTTGGTGTGCACGTTGGGCAGCCTCGACGCCGGTTGAGGCCGAGCGCGCAAGTTCAGCGGGCGTGCCAGCGTGCCACTGAGGTACTGCGTGGCGACGGAGGCGCGTGGGTTACCCCAAAAGGCATGCACGAAGCTGGAGACTTGTCACAAAGCCCTAACGTGCCTCCGCTCTAGGTGTGTGGCAGTTCAACGGATCCAGCCCAGCGACCTCTACGTGTCGATTGGGGACTGCTCCTCCGTTCCGGCCGAGATACTAGGCGGTGCTGCCGTGCACTGGCGCCAGCGAGCTCCATTCAGATCCCGCGCGCGCGATCGGCAGTCGAGTTACAACCCGCAGCCGTGCCGTGTGTGCGCGCGCACTCAATGTGGTTCAGGCGATCTCTCGGCCACCACTCGTCGACTCGCGCTCAGACGCGAGGTGCGTGCTCGCCTGCCTCCCCCGGGAAGGACACGGCCATTTTCAGGGAGATCTGTGGAATCATCCTCGCCACCCTGTCCTCACGCCACCCAACCCGCCCGGCTGCTGCCGTATGTACTGGGACGTGAGTGCAATATTCGTGCTGCCCTCGCCATCCGACGCGTGTGCTCCGCTCCCCGCAGGCGAGGATCGCCGTCGCGCACCAACACGCTTCGTCCGGGAGGCGCGCGGCGCGACCCGCGTTGCGAGAGCGTCGGCGGAGCCCGCGTGCTGGCCCTCTCTGGGACCGCCGCCGGGGCCTAGAGGGCGCAGATTCGGCCATCCAGGGTCAAAGAGGGCGGTTCTGACACCGCCAAGCGGTGCTTTCGTGGACCCCACGAGCTCGCGTTAATCCGAACAAAAATATTGATTCATGATTTACCCGCAGTTCGCTCTCAAGTGCGCTACTACTTCACGCGAAAATCGACTTTGCCTGCTCGGCCACGCACTCAATCGTGCCGCCTTCTTCTCTGCTTGCAATGAAGGGCACGTTCGTCTCACGAAGCTTGTTATTGCAGGTGCGGCGCGGCCGCGACGCCGGCACCCGCACGTCATTGGGTGGGCCGTCTATGGCCTTGTGCCCCGCGTTTGCGCACTTGGCGTAGGCCTTCGGGATGTTCCCATTGCGGCCGCATAGATCCCGCAGCCCATCGACGGCGAACGGCAGCGCTGTTTGTTCACACGTGGCGTTGCAGCGCTCGCGGAATTGCGCGCGCACAAGCTCAAAGTCCATGCGCGAGTGCATCGAGTGCACCACGAGCGACTTCGAGCTGACCGAGCTCGTGCAGAGCCCGCGCTCCGCGTCGTCGCGAAACTCCCACCCGTCGTGCACGATGTCCCACCCCCAGTGGAGCGGTGTGAGCTCCGGGAAGGGCGCGATGTGCGCGAAGAAGCCAAAGGCGGAGTCCTCCCCCTTGACCCAATACGGCGGCTCGAAGCGCGCCGACGCGTTGTGCCAAAAGTCGTACACGAGCCGCGAGCCGGCGATCCACTTGACGAGGTCGTAGCTCATCCCCCAAAAGAGGCCGGCTGCGTACGGGTACGGCCCCACCGCATCGCCCCCGCCCGGCAGCAGCGGGCACTCGACTTTTTTGGCGCCGGCCGCCTGGAGCGGCCCAAAGCCATAGCCGCACGGCTGGAAGTTGCGGAGCGAGTAGGAGCACCAGAGGGTGTTGCCCAAGTAGAGCGGCCCTTGCCGCGTGGCGAGCAGCGTGCGCAGGTTGTGCTCGAGGCGCGTCGTGTGGATCCACGTGTCCCAGTCTGCCTTGAGGAAGAAGCGGGTCGTGCGGTGCAGCACGACCACCTGCTGGAACCATGCGAGGATCTTCTCGCCGGTGCACTTTGGGTCGCCGCGGTACGGGTCCTTTGTGGCCTCGCGCGCGTTGACGAGGGCGAGGTCGCCGTGCGCCATCTGCTCCTCGTTCAGCTGCTCCACCTGCGCCGCCGAGCCGGACGTTGGGGGCACCGGCGGGAGGCTGCTCCCAGGGCGAGAGGTGTGGGGCGGGCGAGGGTGGATGGACGCGCCAGCGAGTCATCGTGCCCCTCGCCCTGGTAGGTGAGGAGGCCGATGATGAACTCGGCGCGGACCGAGCCGCTCTCGTGCGCCAGGTTTGGGTACTCTGGGTACCAGAGCTCACGCAGAAGCGCGCGCCGCTGCCGATTCGCCTCATTGATGCCCACCGGGAAGCCGATTACCGCAAACCACCCCTCACGCCGCCGGGCAGGTCGCGCATACGCAGGCGTGCTGACTGTGCCGTAGTTTGCTCGATGTAGGCCCGCTTCTCGGCCTCGGGCAGAGTCTTCCACCCATTGGCCGGCTTTTCACGTGCGGCGCGCACCTGTCCGCGGACAGTCGAAAGCACGGACGGCGGTGGCGAGCCGCCGTTGGATACTGGACACGGCGTCGGCACTGGACACGGCGTCGGCACTGGGCACGGCGTCGGCGCTGGGCACGGCGTCGGCACTGGGCACGGCGTTTTCACCGAAGCTGCAGCCGACGCAGAGACCCTCGCCTCTGCGAGATGCCGCGACTGAGCATCATGGCGCCCCGCCGGCGGCGGCGGGGCGGCGGAGAGGGCGGCGGAGCGGGCGGCGGCGGAGGCGGAGGCGGAGAGGCACGCCGAGGAGCTGCTGGCGGAGGTCGAGGCGGAGAAGCGCGGCAAGGGCAAGAAGGGCAAGAAGAAGAAGAAGGTCGGCGGGAGCGGCGGCGCTGGGCCGTCGCAGGATGCCGAGGCGCCGTCAGAGGCAGCTGCAGCCAAGCCCGCGAAGCTGGACAGGGAGGGGTTGATCAGGCTTCTCGAGACGCTCCACGAGGAGCGGATTCGGTACGGCATCACGGCGGAGACGTCGGTCGCGGGGGCTTGGCGGAAGCCGTTTGAAAAAAGCAAGCTCCAACGCTCGCAGGGCCAAACCATGGCTAAGTAGCAATATCGCCAAAACGCTCATTGAGCTAGCCCCTCTTTGTT